CACTTGGGTTGTTACCAACATCTGGTGAAAATTTCATGTCATTAGCACCTCTAGTAATATGTTTACTGTGAAAAATGTTGACGTGTTAAATACTTATTTTACCCGCTGTATATATATATATATGTATATAATCAGGTTGGATTGGATGTTTTCTGTCAGAGGAGAGCAGCAGTTGGAGACACGCTGGACAAACTGAAGACAGGTTGGATAAAATGTGTTGCACGGAATCATTTTAAAATTCAGGCTAAAACCTCCTGCTAACATGGTCTGACGGCTGCAGCTCAGTGAGATTCTGATCTGCAGAGATCCAGCAGCGCCACGTGTTCAGACCTTGACTCTTTCTGCTGTGAGGAGTCTAAACTCTGGCTTTAAATTGTGAGCTGCTCGTGTAAAAGCAGTAACAAGCGACAAAAGAATAAAAACACCTACACAAAGCCGACCGCTCTTAAGTGTCCTTGAAAGCGGTCGTGTGAAGAAGTGGCAAAACATGAAAGCAAAAACTGCTCAAATGCTTTTTGAATTTCCCAGTTTCCTGGTTTAACTAGAAAGCAATGAGACAAAGATTGATAATGGCTCGTGAATGAAAGTAAAAACACTTCAGACGCCTCGGTCCTCCTCCCCGCTTTGACACATAAAAGGCTGCGGACGTCCTTGATCCTCACTCCTCCAGCTTTTGTCGTTTGAAATTGCAAACAGCAGCTGCTTCTTTGGGTTTGCCGCATTCTTAAGGTGCTCTGTTATTGTCTTGTTTTTCGGCGTCTCCCGCCACATCAGAAGACCTACCGTGACTTCAGGCTGCAGGGGGTCTTGGACGGCACGCTGAACAACAGGAGCTATGAGACCATCTACAACCGGCTGACGGTGGAGGAGGCCACAGCAGCTGTGAAGGCAGGCGGGGCCCTGCAGGGCCTGAGCATGAGGGACAGTGATGAAGAGGACATCTAGTCTCACACAGAGGACATCCTCCCTTCACTCTGACACATCCGGACCTCCTGACCCACTCACAACGGACCCATGCTGTCACTGGGCTTAAGTAGCACCTAACTGTTTCTAAAGATTAAAACTTGTTTCATCAGATTGTCTTGTTTCCTAAACTGTGCATCATTTATTCTCTTTAATAAATGTTTCCTCTCACTGAACTGGACCTAAAAGGTCAAATAAAGGTCTGGTTCTTAAAGGAGTGCAGATCACCTGTCACCTTTCCTGCCAGAGGCTTGCATGCAGTAAAAATAACGGAGTCATTTGGTCCAACCTTAGAAATAATGTTTGGTGCCGTTAATGTAGGTGTTGAGAAATACTTTCAGCTACTACTCCACTTCTAACGGCTCATTAAAGCTGTGTGACCTTTGACCCTTACTGGGTCCAGGTTCTTTTCACAGGAAGCCAAAACTAAAAATCTGATCTTCGGTTCTGTTCAGTTCAGAACCAACAGTTTACTGAAATGTATTCATAAAAAATACCTTTTTTTAATTTAGGGCATCAAATCAACTTTAATTAACAACAAAGTTTTTAAAATTACAGAAGAAAAGAAAAAACGATCATCTGGATTGAGGTTCTGTAGACTTGATGAGGTTCTGACAGGTGTCTGAGACTCTCAGGACCAACTGAAGGGGCATTAATAAACTCCTCTGTGTTTTTATTTATTTTTTCATCCCAAAGAAAAGCTGCTCACTGTGATGAACACAGACACAAGAAATAATTTGTGTAGAGAATGTTTGTGTGGGACGACTCACGGTCCAGAGTACTGACACTGAGCGTTAGTATCTGTAAAAAAACTCAACTAAATGTAGTAGTATTAGCAGTAGCAGGATTAGCAGAAGTAAGCTGAAGCTGGTTTCAAAGAAAAAGTTTTAGAAAAACTCGAAGGTTTGAAGTTAAATATTTAAAAAAATTAAATCATCTAAAATTTACCACACTATTAGGGCCGCACAGCGAGTTTTTTTATTTTCATTACAAGAACTAGATGCCGCATAGCGACAACATAATGACCCCCACGCACACACAAATGCACCGGAACTCAGAAGTCTTTATTCCTAATAAATGTCACGCTACAAGATGCATCCCAAAATTATAGTGGTTTGACTGGGGGTCTT